TGGGCTTGCGTTCTGAGGTTGCGTTTTGTTCCTTCTCGTCATTTTGTGTAGCACTGTCTTCTGCCCTTTGTTGTAGTTATAACCTTCACACGTCCTGAAGTTCAGGTGGAGCTCTACAGAGTTTGGAGTTATCCAGCTGCGTCTGGCTCCAGTCTGGCTGCTGTGCTCAGCTCCTTCCCAATGCGGACCTGGGCTTGGACCGGGTCTGTGGGTTCCCGGAATTCGGCAGAAATTTCTACTCAGCGGGAGTGGTGGAGGATGTACTGTGGAGTGGTGGGTGGTGGCCCGAGGTGGTGGGAGAGGGTCTGGCCCACACTGTGCCTGGGCTGGGACTAGTCCCGCTGGTGCAGGTTAGCAGGAAGCTCTCCACACACTCACCGGACCTGGCCCAGGACTGGGTCTGGGGGTTCCTGGAAGTCGGCAGAAGTTCCTACTGGGCGGTTGGGGTGGGGGAAGGACTGCGGAGTGTTGGGGGGCGGTCAGAGGGTTTGGGAGAGGGTCCAGCCCATGCTACGCCTAGGCTGGGACTGGTCTCACTGGCACAGGGTAGCAGGAAGCTCTCCACACACTCACCAGACCTGGACTAGGACTGGGTTAATATTTAAATTTTTGATCCATTTTGACTTTAATGCATGGTTACAGACATGGGTCTAATATTAGACTTCAGCATGTGGAAAGCCAGTTTTTACATCACTATTTATTAAAGAAGCTATCTATCATCCAATGACCATGTTTTTTCCCTCTGTCAAAGATAAGGTGGCTGAGTGTGTTTGTAGTTGTGTCTGTGTCTTCTAGTCTATTCCATTGATCCCTAGGTCTGCATTTTACCTTTACCATACTGTTTTTATCACAGTAGTTTTGTTGTACAATTTCTAGTCAGGAATTGTAATGCCTTCTTCCTTTTCTTTGTTGCCCAGCATTACCTTTTCTAGTCTAGATTTCTTCTGGTTTCAGATGAAATTTGGGAATGTTTTCTCTACATCTGTCAGGTATACTAATATATTTTAATTTAGATTACACTGAACTTGTATAATTATTTAGGATTATGGCCATTTTCACAATGTTGGTTCATCCTATTCAGGAGCAAGGAATATCTTCCCCTTTTTTTGAAATCCTCTTGGATCTCTTTTTTAGTGTTCACTGTACAAATATTTTACTTCCTTTGTATATTGATTCCCACATATTTAATTTTTTTGGATGTTATTGTGAAAGTCATGGCTTTGTGTATGAAAATGATACTGATTTTTGAGTTTTGACTTTCCATCTTGCAATGCTACTAACTTTATTAAATCTTCAACTCTCTGGGTGGAGTTTTGGTGGTGTTCTATGTAGAGTATTATGTAATTTGCAAATAATCATAATTTTACTTCTCCCATTCCTGTAATTATTCCTTTTATTTCTCTCTCATGTGTAATTTTTCTGGCTAATGTTTCCAGGACTATATTGAATAGTGATAACAGTGGACATCCCTCTCTTGTTTCTGGATTTAAAGTTAAGTTTTTCAGTTTTTGCTCATTTTAGCATGATGTTGGCTGTTGGTTTGTGATAATTGGAGTTTATCAGGTATTGGTAAAGACCATGTATTCTGATTGTCTGTAGGGTTTCTATTATGAACGAGGGTTGCACTTTGTCAAATGCTTTTTCAGCATCTATTAAGGTGATCATATTTTTTTTTTGTCTTTGGATCTGTCTATGTGGTGTGTTACATTCATTAATTATGCACATACTGAACCATTCCTGCATTCCTGGGATGAATCCTATACTTGATCATGATGTAGAATCATCTTGATGATTTGTTGCATTCTGTTTGAAGTATTTTATTGAGGATATTTGCATTTATATTCATTAGGGATATTGGCCCATAGTTCTCTTTTTTTTTGGTTGCATCTGTTTCTGGTTTTGGTATCAGTGCACCCTTCCCTCCTGGAAGGCATTTTTTGAGTAAAATGCTTCCCTTTCAATTTCATTGAAAAGTTTGAGAAGAGATGGCATTAACTTCTCTCTAAATTTCTTGTAGAATTCAGCTGTGAATCCATCAGGACCTGGGCTTTTCTTTGTAGGTTTTTAATTACATTTTCAATTTCATTAATTGGTACTGTTTTTTTCAGAATTTTTATTCTGAATGTCTTCTTTATTCAGATTTGGTAGTGCATATGTATGTAGGAATCTGTTTATTTCTTCTATGTTTTCCCTTCTGTAAAGGTAAAGATTTTCAAAGTAGGTATTGATGCTTTCTGAATTTCTATAGAATGTGTAGTGATTTCACCTTTTTCCATGTTTATCACATGAATTTGAATTTTTTCTTTCTTTTTTTTGTGGACGTAGTACAGGAGATACAGAGTCTACAGGGTCTCACCACGTATGTTAGACTTGTAGGGATCCTCCCATTTCCAGACTCCTAAGAACTGGGATTACAGGCATGTGCCACCCTGCCCAGTCTCAATCACCATCTCAGTGCTCTCCAGGGGCGGGGCTGGCATGGCAGGCGGTGGATCGAACCCCAGCTGCTGCACTGTGCAGAAGCAGGTGCTTTAGTCCGCTGAGCTATCTGGCTGGCCCTTTCTTTCCTTCTTATGATGAGGTTTGCTAAGGATTTATCAATTTTATTTATGCTTTAAAAGAACCACTTCTTTGCTTCATTATTTGTATTGTTGTTGATCATTGCATTAATTTCTGCTCTGATCTTTATAATTTTTATATACTTTGGGCTTTGGGCTTGAGTTGTTCTTTTTCTAGGAGCTTGAGGCTCAGCATAAGATCATTTCTTTGGGCTCGTTCTGTTTTCCATATATATGTTCACTGCCATATATTTACCTCTTAGGACTGCTTTAATTGCATCTCACAGGTTCCACTAAGTTGTATCTGAATTTTCATTTGATTGTAAATATTGTTTACTTTGTTAGTTTCATTTGTGATCCATTGATTGTTCAGGAAGGTATTATTTAATTTACATGTGTTTATGTGGTTTTGTGATTTCTTTTGTCAATAATTTCCAGTTTCATTAAACTATGGTCAGGTCATATGTATGGGATAATTTCAGTTCCTTTGCACTTACTTAAGCATGCTCTAGGTGCTAGAATATGGTATATTTTGTAGACTGTCCTATATGCAGCCGAGAAGTATGTGTATTCTGCTGTTGTTGAGTGGAACACTCCATAAAGGTCTACTAAGTCTGTGTCTTCACAAATTTGGTTTAGTTCTGTTATTTCTTTGCTGAATTTTTGCCTAGTTGATTGATATCCTCATGACAATGGGTGTTAAAATCTCCCATGTCAATTGGGTTATTGCTCATTTGAATTTTTATGTCTGCTAAAATTTGTCTTATATAGTCAATGCTCCTACCTTGAGTTCATATGCATTTAGGATTGTTATTGCTTTCTCTTGCCGTTTTTCCCCTAACAAGTATGTAGTGACTGTCTTTATTTTTTTGATCATTCTTGGTTTGATGTTCACATTGTCAGCCACCAGAATAGCTACCCCTTCTTTTTTCTGGGTTCCTATTGCATGGACTTTTGGTTTACATCATTTGATTTTCAATCTATGAATTTCCTTTCAAGTTAAATATGTTTCTTGTATATAGTATATTGTTAGATTTTGCTTTGTGACCTACTGTGCCAGTCTGCTTCTTTTGATTGGTGAGTTGAATTCCTTTACATAGATGGTTATAACGATATGCATTGGCTTATCTTTGTCATATTATTTTCCTGCTGTAGGTTCCCTACTCTTCTCCTCTGCTTAATTGCTTGTTCCCCACGGTGGTTCTTTTCCATTGTTTGTATTGTATTCATTATTTGTATAGTTTGTGTGTATTTGTCCCCTCAAAGCCTCATGCAGTCACTGAGGTGCAGTTCTATAGTTTGTTATTAATTCATGATCCAAGATTAGGATTATGGGAGCTGGGGATTTGTCTCAGTGGTAGAATGCTTGTCTAGCAAGCTGGATGCCCTGGGTTTGGTCCTTGGCACCAAAAACAAAAAAAAAAAACCTTCCCTAAAAGCAATTCAAGTAAAAAAATACAGTTAAGTCAAAAAAGACCAAAAATATACAAGGCAACAAGACTGGGATCATGGATCTGAGTACTGCTGGGATTATGGGTGTGAGTGATACATCCAGCCCAGGGTGGATAGCCTGAAAAGAATTTAAGGGAGATAGACATGCTCTCTCTTGCCACGATTGATGCTACTTCTCTATTTTGCTCTCTGCTCTTTACCACAGCCATGAATGGCTGCTCTCTGCCATGTGTGCTACACTGCCTTGGCGCCAGCTGAGTGTGGACTGAAACCTCCAGCAAGTGTGAGTTACATAAACCCTTCCTTCCTTCATTTTAGGTGTTGGGAATTTGTCCCAGCAATGAGCAAATAGTAACTGTAGTCATTTTTGACACTTTCTAGACTATCTTTCAGTATGCTTTGTAGGGTTGATTTTGTGGTCACGAATTTTTTTTTTTTTTTGGCTGGCTCAGGATGCCATAAGGGCAGGTCTGGCAAGGCATGAGGATCTGGGGATTGAACCACAGCAGCCTGAGCCTAGAATTTTTTTTTTTTTTTTTTTTTTTGTGGTACCAGGGATCAAACTCAGGACCTTGCGCTTGCCAGGTAAGCCCTTATTCCACTGAACTATCTCCCCAGCCCATGAATTTTTTTCAGTTTTTCTGGGTCATGGAAGCATAAAAATGTGGAAAGCTTTTCAAATTTGATATTCATCATTGTGGAGGGGCCATTCTAATCTTCTGTGTATTGTTCCAATTTTAGTGTATGTGCTGACAAACCAAGCACTCTGATGCATATTATTTGTACTTTTGTGATAAAAATATGGATGTTATGGACATAAAACAGTTTTCCATGATCCATAACCTTTCATACTTCACCATCACATTGGGGTCTGAAAATGGTGACTATCACATGTAAAATATTAATAAGATTATTTTTATATTTTCATAAAAGTAAGCTCTGGAAATTTATTTTCAGTAAAATTTCTTGAGATCCCTGGATACCAATTTTTGAGCGGAATCTGATTAAATATTAGGAATTGCACAGCATGATGAGAAATGTGTATTCATTTGAAAATAGTATTAAATCTTGCTTCTGTAAGGATATCAATGAAACAGATGTGAAGACCATACTGAATGTCTTAATACCAGACTGTGAAATGTTATCTGAGCATTTTTACTCTTTTGTGTCATCAGGAAATTAATATGACTTGGGGCATTTTTTAATTGTATATTTATTAGGAATGAATTTTTTTATCTTTACCAAATAGCAATGATCAGAAACTGAAAATGGATATATTCATTTAGGACAGTTTTAAGAGTACCATGCCAATTATTACTTTAAAAATATGCTTAAATTTTTTTCAAAATGGGACTAGCCTTTTACAAAAGCATACGCATATTCCTGTGTGTGTAAGCAGCTATCAAGAAATATATTCTGGCTATAAAATCAAGGGTGAGATGTATGTCTATATTTCAACATCTTGGATGTGATTTAAAGCTTTCTATGCACTACGGTTTGGAAATATAAGCTGCTCTTTCTTCTCTAAAAATAGCTTATCTTTTCTAAAATCTTTCATTCTCAATATTTATTATTGAGTTTTCTCATATCTGATTTGTATTATTTTTATAAATTGTTTCTCAAGGTAAAATTGCACTTGGCTAAATAGTAATATAAAATCTGTCTTTTATGAATATAACAGGAAAGTGCTGGCATGACATATTTTTAAAAAGTGTGTTTTACTTTAGGACTCTCATATTGCTGGATTTGGCAGTTCTAAACTAAATAACTGTAAATTACTTGTCAGTAGATACTTTACCTGATAAGAAAATATTGAAAATTGGCCAACCAGGAAAGTGTTTTAATTTATACCTTATTGGAGATATAAATCTGGTCTTCCCTTTTAGGGATGTTTCTTCTCAATATTATCTTCCTGAAATTGGAGTGGTTTACTTGGTTTTATAGAGTCCCAACTCTATGGAGTTTTGGGACCACATACTTTATTTCTTGTAACTAATCAGAACTGAGAAAGGCCAATGTACTGACTGGTTGAAACTATATGTTTATTGATGAAAATGAAAGAAACCATGAAACTTGCAGAGGTATTGAAAGTTTAATATTTGATTTAACAAATGTGTTAGGATTATATTTTTGTCTTTTTTTGTGACATGATTATAGCAAACTCAGAACGGAAGGAACCAACACATTTCTCTAACTAGTCTACTGAGGGTATTTAATGAAGACTTTAGACTAATGAAAACATACTTCTATAAATTGAAAACATTTGAGATTTGACTTGATAGTTTTTTTTTTTTTGACTTGATAGTTGACATACAGTTAAGAATTTAAATTCCAAAAGAACTCAAAAGAAGAAATACAAATAGATAGGTATAATACAAGTAAAAGGAAAAAAAGATCTCAAGGACTAACTAATCAAGAGAGGGATAGGAGAAGAGCTGGGAAACATGAATAAGTCAAGTCATACAATTATAAGTAGAAGATGTGCAAGGCAATGATCCTGAGAATCTCCAGATGATTTTGCATCTAGCAGTTAACTGGAAAAATTTTCACCCTGACTAACTATATATACTGGTACCTGTGAACTAACCTACTGCACTGCAAATGGCAATTTGTAATAGTAGTTTCATGTTTGAGAGCCTGTCATTTTTGTCTTCTGAATATGGGCTGCTTGTCATAACATGCTAGTTGCTGCTATAATGTCTCTTGGGTAGATCATTGTTCAAAAAGTAGGGGGTGGTGTATGGAAGCAAGAGACAGGTAAAGGAATATTGTGGGACTGTCCTGCTCCAAGGTTGTATATGATGAGATTTTTGGCCTTATGTGTAAACATAAGTATATAATTCTGTATGCCTATTTTTGAAATACATTCTAATTTTTAAATGCTTTTTATTATATTCTGTAGGGACTTAAAGTTTAACATATCAATACTTGATGAAAAATACCTGTTACATATTATGCCTAAGATATTTGATATGCAGACATATAGTGAGGTTAAGCTTAACAGCCTAAGTTTTATGGTAAGAACAATAAGCTTGTCTTCTGGATGGTAAACAAACTAA